ACTGTCGCGCGGGTCGCGCGGGCGATGCCGCGCCCCCGGGCCGGGCTGTAGCTGGGCTGCGGCCGGAGCGCGCGCGCGCAGGGCAGACGGGCCATGGAGGTGGTGGACGAGACCGAAGCGCTACAGCGCTTCTTCGAAGGTGAGAGACCGCGGGGCTGGCGGGGTGGTCACCCTCCTGCGTCGGATCTGCCAGCCAATCTGGCTGAAGACGGGACTCCCCCGGGGTTCCTACCGTGCCGGATCCCCGGAAAGCTTCACTGGGACAGGCACTCCAGACTGGCCGCTGCGCGGTGCATGGCTTCGGGGTTGGGAGTCTCCAGGAGGTGTCTGTCCACCTCCGCTGGACTTGGACTCCCCGTGTCGGTCTCTAGCACGCTACTTCTTTCAGAGCTGGGTCCTCTTCGAGGGTCTGTCCTCCTTGGAACCTTTCAGGTCTTGCAGTCAGTCCCCTTATAAGGTAACACTCCATCCTTGACACACTTCTCCGGTCTGAAGACCCTCTACTTTCTTGGGACTTCATCCAGATCAGATTCCCACTCCATCCTCTAGGACTTCTGCCTGCCTCCCAGGAGCTGGGGCTTCCTGACTGTGCTTCCAGGAGACTGAGACACCCTGGGAGACTGAGATGCCCTTTGAGACTGTCACCTGTCTTGGGCAATGCTGCTTCCTTCCCTAAGGGGAGAAAGTCCCCTATTGCTTCCCTACCTGGGGCAAGGCCCTCTCCTTAGCATGCTTTCCTAAGGATGGAATCTTTTGAAGCTGGCATCCCTGCCATCAGCTACCGCTGCTCTTGGAGACCCTCACAATGCTATGGATGACATCCCACCAGACCTATGAGGTTCCTTGGGCCTATGTCCCTCACAACTGTCCCTGGAGCTGCGCCTCTCCCCCCTCCCCCAAACTAGGGGTGACCTCACCCCCTAGTTTGACCTGAAAAAAAAAAAACATTCTCTGGTACGATTTATGTACACCCCACCATATTTTCTTTACTTCAACCCCCACATTGCTTTTAGAGGTCTGCCTGTAGTCCACCTACTTCCTCTGCTTCTCCTGAGCAGCCCCTGCCCCTCCTCCAGGGTTGCCCCTCCCCCCCTGAAATCTGGGTTCAGGAGGGCGGGGGAGGGGAGGTGCAGGCTGACATCTCCCAGCCTGTTGGGCTTCTCAGACCCTCACTGGAACGCAAGGTCAGGCATTCAAGCCCGTTGTGTATCCCCCGCCTGCTATGTTGGGGAGCTCAGGTCCTACCCTACCCTCTAGTCTCTAAGCTCATAGCTGGCTCTTCAGTGAATGAAGAACCTTCCATGAGCAGCATCTGCCCTGGCCATACTGGGCGGAGACTGTGAGGCTCAGGGTGGAAATCAAGGTCCAAGTTTAAAACCCAGTCCTCAGTTCCCTTGAGATTTCTTTCCCAGGGCAAGAGAAGATTTTTCTCTGCCTCTGTTTCTCTTTCTGTGACTTGGGGAATCACAAAATAGACATTTGTTCATTCCTATTTGCTGAGCAACCCAGGAGAGGACACCTCAAGATCCAGCTATACCGACTCCAGGTTGCTGAACACCCAGGCAGACCAAGCCCCAAGAAGCCCAAGAGGACAGGCTTGGACTAGGTTCAGTGACTAATGTAACATTGCCAGACCATTTGAGGATGCTAGGCAACCCCCCTCAGTAGCAAGTGCCCTCTTCCCTAGACACGCTTAAGAGCTGTCTGGGACCTTATAAGGAGTAGAGACCCTAGGTGAGGAGACAGTGTTTATTGCTGAGGGGAGAGGTACCAATTGGGGTGCCTTGTGTCTACTAATGACCCCATGAATCGGGGTCCCTTGATTTCTGAAGGTATCCCTATGTTTGCTCCCTAGACCTGAGCCCTGGGTACAGGGGCGGGCCTAGTTGGCCTGGACTCCCAACTCCTGAGCCAAACTTTCCCTCTTGGCCTGGGGTTGGGGGGGATGGGAGCTGACGCCACAACTTAGCCATGCGGCTGCCTGGCAGGGAGGCTGAGCTGCTCCCTCCAGAGAGATAAGAAGAGACTCAAGAATGTCTGTGGGGAGCAGGCGGGGTGTGGGGCTGTTGGCCCAGGAGGCTTGAGAACCCTCCCAGAGCCTGGGGCTGGGGAGAGGGTGGGTGGGCACCTGATCCAGATCTCCAGGGCTGCCTGAGAGGGAAGGCCTGGCAGGGAATTGGTAGGCAGTAGGATGGAGTTCTCAGTGTGGGGTGAAAATGCCCCCCGGGAAATCACAGGAGTGTGGTGTGTTCATCAGCCTGAGGTGAGACCAACCAGAGAGGAAGCAGAAAGCCTCACTTTGTGGATGCTAATGTGTTGTTCCTCAGCTCCTGGTGACAGTATACACTCTCACACTAGGAAAACACCTGAGTCCTCATCCAGGTTCCTACATGGCCTCCATCATTCCTTCTAGACAGTGAGCAGGGATGTCCATGGTTTGGGCCCTGGGCTGGGCGACAGACTGGATCTTGCTAGAGGGGCAGACTCTTCTGAGGACATGGCTCCCACTCTCTCAGCCCATAGGAGCATGTCCTGGTCCTGGGCAGGTGGTGAGACTGGGGGCTAAGGTGCTTTGGGCCCCTGGTGGGAGGCTGGGACAGGGCGGCCCCCTTGAGGCTGGTACAGCTGTGTCCCTGTGACTCTGCCCAGTTAATCCCCTGGAGAGAGGCACCAGTAGCCCAGAGTGGAGGGCACAGGGCCTGTGGAGAGAGGACCATCTGGGCAAGATGTACTGCCTCACAGCAGGTAACAGGGTCTTGAGCAGGTATATTTCTCAGTACCTGATTGGTGGAGGGCCCTGACTTCCCAGAGCCAGGTCAGGGGATGGAGCAGGACAACTTCAGAGGATTTGGCCAAGAGCTCAAAGGGGCTGATTCAGGCTGGGCCACTGAAACCTGTATGACCCTGGGTAGAGCATTTGTCCTCTCCTGTTACACAGAAGCCAGTGGCAGAGGTCTCTACGGTGCCTTTGACTCTGATGAACCTTCTGTCCCAATGCTGGAAGAAGGGACATTTTAGAGTATGAACAGAAGATTCTGGGAGGGGGCTGGTCTATGATACTAGGGGCTCACATGACCTAGCCAGTGTCCTGGAAAGCAGATGTATGTAGGGGTGGCTTAGACACTGAAGGGAACTGGGTCTCCAACAAGTTTTGAACTGGCCATCGAGGGTTTGGGGGCTGGAGCCCCCGGAGCTGGAGAAGGAGGTCTTATCTCACCCTTTCTGAACCCATGGGCGTGCTTGGGCTGGTACTTTCCCATCTGGCCTCAATTTCCCTCAGTTAGATCCAAGTAGAAGCTTCCAATGGGATTATTTTTAGCCATCTAACAAAACAAACTCATGACCTCTGATAGGATGTACAAGGTAGACAACAGAGTGCTGGGTGGGGGAGGGAGGGAGGACCAAGACTGAGGCCCCTGAGAGAAGGTTAGCCAGGTAGCCGTGGCTAACTTAGGTCTCCAACTTTCTCCTCTACCATGAAGGCCTTGTGGGAGGGGCTAGCAGTTGGGGACAACATCCTTGCCTCCCCTCTAGAAGCCAGGAGTCTGGGGGGGCGGAGGCCAACTGGTAACTTGGGAGGGAGGAAGCCAGCTGTGTGTGGACTGAGCTGGTCTGTGAGATGGGGTAGTTCTATGTGTTGTCTATTTATTGGTGATACACCAAGGTTCAGGTGGGTAGGGAGGCACCAGCAAGCTTTCCTGGCTCCTGCAGGACTCCAGTTACTGAGGAGGAGGCAAAAGGTCTCCTCGGCTCACCTGGGCCTCTATTCCCAACCCCACCCAGGACTCCTGTTCCAACACCAATCTATGGTGAACTGATGGCCAGGACCACCACTCAGGCCCTAAGCCAGATGGGAAGGGAGAAAAGGTAGAGGGGGTGTGACTCATCCCCATGTCCTCACACCCATCTTGGGGCCACCCAATACAGGGTGGGGAAGGAACCGGTCCCCACCAGTGGAGGCCATGATTGATTCATCTGTATGTGAATAAGAGCTTTGGGGTGGGGGTACATCATAAAAAACCACTCTTTGGGAGTGGCTGCGGCCATCTCAGGGGTCAAGGGAGTCGGTCACTAGCCCCTGGGCCTCAGGCCTTTTGTGAGTCTGGAGGGCTGACCAGAGTGCCTCTTGGGGTCTTAGGCAGAGCCAAGACAACTATTTGGAGGCAGATAGGCCACTCTGGCCAGAATGACTTCTCCCTGGGAGACCTGTCCCCACAACTTACAAAGAGTTGCAGCCCTGGGGGGGCCCTGGCAGCAGTGGCTGCTGGGTAACCACCCATCGAGGCTGTTGATTGGCTGTTGCCCTTGGACTTTGCCCTCCCTGATAAGGATAGAACAGAAATCATTAACTGGATTATTAACTGGGGTGGCCCCACCCTGCCGGGACAGCCAGCCTCCCCTTCTTCCTTCCTCATGGCCTAGGCCTCAGACATTCCTCTGTACCTTAGTTTCCCTAGAGGGGTGGGATGGGACCTCTCCCATCTCAAGGTCTCTGGGCCCTTGTCACCCCTAGATGTGCGTGGCCCATTGGTCAGGGGCTGGGAGAGCCAATGCTTATGCAACAGGGTCTGTCTAGCCCTGCTGTCTCCCACATGGCCCTCCTCTTGGGCATGTTACTGCAGCTGGCTGGGCTTCATTGTCTCAGCTATCAAGTCAGGAGCACAGCAGGACTAGTTAGTGGTCACTTCTCAGGGCTTCTGTGAGATTGAGTAAGGTAGTGCCTGTGGAGGGCCTAGAGACAGTATCTTGCCTGCATACCACTCCATGAATGCCAGCCCTATCCAACAAACATCCCATGGACTTGCACAGCCCCGTTGCACAGACCTGGGACAAGTATCATGTGTCCACCATGAAGATTATTGGTCCTCCCATGCAGCAGTAGGTTGATACCTTAGAGTTGGGCTGGTGCTGTGTGCTTTAGGAAAACTTTTCACCCTCTCTGAGCTCCGAACTCCAGGATAAGGGAGCCATTATCTATCAAGTGCATTCTGGGCGTAGGTACCTTCACTGTGACAGGCCTGGCCTTGCTTTGCCTGGTACCAGGTCCTGGTCCATCATAATAGTTGAATTGGTCCCACCCTCCATCCTTGGAAATGTGGGACTTATTCCTTGGGTGGGAAAGGAACTTGACCATCCTTG